GTGAAAATTTCAGTGAATAGCTCCTCGATGGTCATGTTCTCCTGATACTTTACAAAAATTTCGAATTTTTCACTTTCAGTGAAAATTTCAGTGAAGAGCTCCTCGATTGTCATGTTCCCCTGATACTTTTACAAAAATTTCGAATTTTTCACTTTCAGTGAAAATTTCAGTGAATAGCTCCTTGATGGTCATGTTACCCTGATACTTTTTCTAAAATTTCGAATTTTTCACTTTCAGTGAAAATTTCAGTGAATAACTCCTTCATGTTCATGTTATCCTGATACTTTTTCTAAAATTTCGAATTTTTCACTTCCAGTGAAAATTTCAGTGAATAGCTCCTCGGTGTTCATGTTCTCCTGATACTTTTTCAAAAATTTCGAATTTTTCCATTTCACTGGATATCTATTCGAGTTTTAAGTATTATATTTTGCAAAAAAAAAAATGAATGACGGCGGGATCGAACCCGGGCCGTCGGCGTGGTAGGCAAGCACGTTACCGCTAGGACAACGCGCTATTGCAATAATAAAATTTCATTAGTAGTATATATATTGCAAAAATTTCGTTTTTAAAAATGTCAAATTGTTCAATTTCACTGCATATCTTCTCGATTATCAAATATTCAGTTTTTAAACAATATTTCGATTGATTTGCCATTAACAAAAAAAAAATTGGAATTATTTAAATGAAAAAAAAAATGAATAATGCCGGGATTGAACCCGGGCCGCTGGTGTGCCAGTCGAGCACGTTACCACTAGGACAACGTGCTAATTTAAAATTATAAATTCATTAGTGGTATATATTCAATACATTGAATAATTTTTTCCATTGAAATTCCACAAGATGTGGTTTACCCCTTCCGTACCAGCTACAGTCGGCTAAATTTCAGTTAAACAAATGAAAAACAAAAAGCATTCGTACAGCAGAAAATAAAATTCACCCCGTCGACTTGATGGACACCCCAGCATTGCAATAAAAACTTGGTTAATAAAAAAAAGACCCCGCCATTGCGTGTTGCGCCCTCCCTCTCTTGGGGTGAAGTACTACGATGCCGCTGGGGTCACTCAAACCCCCCGAACTGAGCCTCTACTTTAGTCAAGCCTCTTTGGTTTCTACCATTCGTAGTACTATATTTTTTACAAATATTAAACAGATGAAATGTTTTCTTTTTTTTTATTATAATACTAGAGCCATGACACTTCCCAGTCCATGCTTTTTTTTTTACTAAAGAATCATCATCATCGTCTTATGTGTATTATCTTTCTTGAGTTTGTTACTTATATGGTGAGATTACAATGCAATGCTTACAGCTCTTTTGTACAATATTTTTTTTTACTTGATTGACATTATTGGATATGTTCCATTAGTTAAAAGATATAACAATTATAAAAGACGATAAATTTATTCACTTCTCCAACCATAATTTTGGATGGTAATGAATGCTGAAAAAAAAAATAGAATTTTTTTATCGATATTGAAGCCGCGTAAGGTACACCGCCAAGTTGCATAATATGAGAAAAGTATAACAAAAATATATACTAAGCGTTAATCTTTTATATGAAAACATGGCATTAATTATTTTTCATATTTTCCATATTTTTCATATTTTTCGAATTGCACTTGAAAATTTCAAACGTAATCGTATACTCCCAGGTGCAATGCCATGGATTTCATGTTTTATTTAATGTGACTCTAATAATAAGCGCACATTTTGAAGAAAGTGAATAAATATAATAGACTTGTAAATACTTGCATTGACGATCTTTTACGATTGTTAATTATCATGTTTTCTAGCGTTTCAATGAGAGGAGATGTGTTGTATCCAATGTAACGTATCACATTAAATAGTAGAATCATATGATATGTATGAAAAAGACATGTAAACACGATATACGTGTAAATATATTCATAAAAAAGTAAATAGGGCAGTATTATGCAATTATTATGAAAATTATATTAAAAATTATTTTTTAGTGTCACTGTGCAATAGCGAGATTGTACGGGCATTTTGGATTTGTTTTGTTTTTTTTTTCTTTTTCTATTTTTAATTTATCCTTATGAACAATAGTGGGAAGGAATGAGAATAATTTCAATGTCTGTGGAATTTCACCAACGTTGAAAGACGTTCATACGCAGTGCCACAAGACTAGGCCTTTGGGAACAATTACATTATACGTCAAATTTTGCCGTTAAATTGCCTAATAGGGAGATAAATACAGAATTTCTGTATAAAAATGTTAATTTGTCATTTTTCACCTCCTTGCAGAAAAAATAATGGCAGAATTTTAATAGTTACTATGATTTTGATGCTCAACTGTCAAAGGGATCGAATTTGAGAGATCGTGATCTTGGTAGATACTCCATATTATGTAGTGCGCGATACCATGAGGATGAATTGTCAGCATCACCCGCACTAAATCGATGCGGTAGCTCATTGACAGTTTCCCAATAATTTTTTGAAGTACAATAAGTTTTGGAAATTTTGGAAATTTTAGAAATTTTCAAGCGATGATTATTGAATTGTTCAGAATGAGAGTGAGAGAATTTAGCTTCTTCAATAGGGGATCGTGATGGAGAGAGAGGCTCATAAGGAGGCGGTGGTGGCGAAGAGGGAGACGATGTCGGAGATGCCGTTCGATTGAAAGTGACAAGTTGTGAATCAAGGCCAAGAATCTGGAGAACTCTGTGAGAGTTTTCCCGTATCCACTCATCTAGAATGTTAATTGGCCAATCAGTTTGTGTACTGACATCGATTAGACGAGCCGGAGACTCCCAACAAAGACCGTCAGGTAAATGAGATGAACTTCTGGCGAGAAGTCGATCGTTCGATCCACCATGTCCCGCTGGTGTAGGCAAATTAGGATTACTGTGAGGTGAACGAACCAAAACTTGAAGCGCTTGAATTGCATTTCTCATCTGAAATTTGATAATTTCAAAATAATAAGAAATTATTATTATTATTTTAATTATTCATCATGTGTCCTTAAACTCACTTCGTAACTGAGAGTAACGACATCCTCATGAACTGCAGAAACTTGAGATGCCTCTATCCTTTCCATTGTTCCACGATTATAATTTTCCACTGATTCTTGTCCTAACATTTGCATTCGATTTCTTAATCCACTTCTTACCATTCGCCTATCTCGAATATCAGACCTTAATCAATCAATATTAATTCATTCATTTTATTGAAAATTGAGTGAAAATGAATAATTTATCCTATTTGTTTCAACATATGTAAAAAAAAAAATGATTTAACAATGAATGAATATATTATCACCTGAATTTGGCGTGTCTGGGGCTCACTGTGTGAAGAGGTGATCTATTGGCTGGCGAAAGTGGAGAAGTTTCGCCGTCATCTGGAACGTTTTCATCATCTTCACTGATTGAGGGTAGGGTTTGCGATTGAATTCCATTCATATCTGGCTCTTCCTAAAATGGGAAAATCATTAGCGATTGAAAAGCAGAACAAAAAAAAAACAAAAAAAAAAAATCTTTCACAGTCATTACCTCCGCCTCGTAACCTTCTCGTAAATTATGGGTAAGATCGTGAACGATATCATGTGCGAATTGCTGCTGATACTCCGGATAAAGTCTCAATACATCAACGAGACCCTGAATATTTATGCATTTTAAATAACAATAGGTCAGTGCTTTAACATCACAGCTCGATTTAACAATAACGTCACCTCCAGAACCAACTAAACCACTTCCATTATTTCCATGTTGAAGATGCACACTTATATCACAGCCCACAAGGTCACCTTTTCCTAATTTTTAATGAACCATAATATATATATATCGATTGTTGTTGTGAAACGTCAATGAATAAAGTGAACGAATAATAATAAAGTAATATTATCCTACCCAATATGGCTACTACCATACTATTTTGGACAACTTCCATAGAACCATTGCATAAATAGTATATGTATGACAATGCATCTCCCTTACGTATTAAATACTCTTCTGGTGCACAAAAATTACTTCGTATATGATGTGATAGCAATTTCAAACATCCTTGTGATGCACCCTCAAATATTGGTAAACTCAATATTTCTCTGTGTAAGTGCATACATACATCACCCCGTAATTCCTCTGGGAATTCCTTCAGAGTCTAATTAAAATAATATCACACCATATGAGACAATGTATATCAATTATGAGCATTCCACTGACCTACCTCATGAATATCAATACCATGGTTCAATGACCATGTTGTTTGAAAATAATCTTGCATTCTTTGCTTAAGTTTTTCTGGTATTTGGTGTAAAGTAAGGAAATCTTTGAGGTCCCTCCATTTTGTATGATAAAGAGATCGCCTTGAATACATACGCTGAATTATAGCGGTTACATTGCCAAATACCACAGCATGCATTAGAGCTTAATGGAAAAACAAAAAAATAAATTTATTTCAATAATCTATTGTCATTAATTATTGTATTGTATTGTATTGTATTGTATATAATCATTAATAATCACCTCCTACAAGCATGGTACAAATGGAGAAAATTTTTTCATACGTAGTATTAGCGGAAACATTGCCAAATCCTACAGATGTCAAACTGCTGCATGTAAAATATAGGGCTGTTACATAGCTGTCGGTGTGGGATACATTTTGTACATCGATGTGAAGGCGTTCCGCCAGTGTATGAATCCATCCTAAATTTTTTTTTTTTTTATACTTCAATATATAAGTATAATGTAAAGGTATTAAAGTAGTAGTAAAAAAATCATAATGGCTCACCTAAATTCCAATCTTTATCTTTTTTCAATTTTTCTTTTTCCGCAATAACGTACCATATGCATGCAAGCCAATGGGCTAACAATGTAAAAGATAACATAAGTAGTGTTAATATCATAGCACTATACTGTGAGTATCGGTCCATTTTTTGCAGCAATCTGGCTAATCGAAGGAGTCTTGTTAGTTTTATGAGGTGAATGTGACCATGACCTGGTTCCTGTAACAATCAATCAATTATTTAAAATAAGGTGAACTATTAAAGCATCTATTAAATATGAAGTGCGGTAACTGATAAATGGTATAGGTACTGGCCTCGCCACTATAAACATCAGCGGCATATAGCACATCAAATGGTAAAGCCGCAACAAGATCAATGAGGAACCATCCTTTCAAATAATTTACAGCTATTTTTTTTCCATTTATTACTAATTTTCCCTTTCTACTAACATATGTAGTTCGGAAATTCAGGACAATATCTGGAAAAAATAAAAACAAAATTTACAATGAAAAAATTCATATGGCGTTATTATTGTTGAAATCTTACCAAATATAAAGAGCACTTCGACAATAACATCACTAATCATGAAGGGTCTACCAATATTAACGAAACTTGCATTGTATGGTACAATAACAGCAACGTAAAACGTTGCAACAAGTATCAACCAATCCCAACAAGATTTAAATCCTCCATAGTGGCTCAAAATGGCATGAGATCTCTCGGCAGCGGAAGTTTTGTACTCGGGTAAAGGAGCAGCAGGTGAGTGAAGTAATTGCTGAAGTAACATTAAATATATTTGCCGAATAACTTGTTATCTTATTCCATTTACCTTGTTGATATTGATTTTATGTTTATCTTGTTTATAATGGCCGGATAATGTATACAAAACAGCACGGCTTCGTCGTCTGCGGCCATACTCTGCTGATGGCGCTTCTGGATCGACATCGTTATTTCCATCTAATTGGGCCGTTTCAATGAATTATCAATCCAAATTTTCACCTACTTACTACCTAAATTTAATTGGATAAAAGAGTGGGAAAAAAAATCTTTGGCCATTTGTATTCACCATCATCAGAGTCACGGCGCGGAAAAATTTTCGTATCTGTGATGTCTTTGTGAGATGCCAGAAATAGTACAACATCTCCTTTTTCATTTTTTATTGGAACAATGTCTAGCAGACAGTTGAACTTTTCACCTACATTGAAAAATTTAACAAATTATAATTTTTGGTGATGGATTTTCGTGAAAATTTTTTGAAATTAATCATTAATATTGACATACCATCTTTCTTATAAAATACCACCTCGAGTTTCAATTCCGTCTTGCTCTCAAGACTTTTCCATATTAACGTTTTATTATCTTCTTTGGTTTCGGGACCATATAGAAATTTACAAGCGCAACCCTTTTGCATTATCTGCGCTCGTGGATATTTTGTCAACTCGCAGAATCCATCAGAACAATATACGATTGGGTAGGTCTTTATTACTTGAGCATTACCCAGTACGAAATTGCTATCTGAAAGTTATCCCAAAAATTACTAATCAATATTATTACCATTACTAAAGCATATATGTGAGCTCAGTACGAGCTTAACAGCTTATTGTCAAGGGGACAAAATTTACACCACGGTGTGGAATTATCAACCATATGGTGGTGACCTTGTCTTTTAATCATGTATCATGCTTGGATGGTGAATTAGCTCTCTCATCACTCAATATCATCACCCCATCATCTTCATACTCACTTCGCACACCCAATTTGCCACGAAAATTTTTCAATTATTTTAGGTAAATGGAGCAAGAAGCTACTATACCTTTTTTCCTCTCATATGTTAAATCCAGTTGAAATTGATGAGATTGAGGTCAAAGGAATCACGGCAACCCCAAGGGTCAATGCACTTACCATATATCTATATAATAAATGACATTTCCCTCATTTTTACGAAATTTCTCTGTCTAGCCAATTATTACAGAGTTTTTTATTTTAATAAGGATATGTTTAATATAATGAATACAATGACAAAAGAAAAAGAAAAAAAAGAAAAAAAGAAAAAAAGAAAAAAAAAAGGATAAATACATAGTTTAGTCTATATATAACCGATGAGAATGGCATGGTGTATTCCTGTAATATTCCATGCCAGGTCAAGTAGGTAAAGGCAGAAGTGGTCAGACATGTGACGGAACATGAAAAGCGTTTGAGCCTCATAAAGCGAAAAAATATTCCAATCAAGTTTATTCCAATTAACTATGATAATGCATTAAAAAATACATGTGAATATTGGTGTTAAGAATAACATGTTTTATTATGAATAATTTTATTGGAAATAAAAGAAGAAAAATAAAGTCGCAAGTATAACACGGTCATTCTCTATTCGGTTTTCGAGTCGACCTGATTTCCATTTCGATCGATGAGGGCTGTGAAAAGATGCTTAAATTAAACTCCAATTTGCCACTGTAGAGTGATAATTTTTTCATTATTATTGTCCCCTTATCACTTGAGAAAAAAAGCCGCTCTGTAGTGTTGCGCTTGATGCACGTGTAAATGATCAAGTTTTTTTTTTCGAAAAGAGAGGTATATATTATAACTCACGTGTTCCATCGAATCTCGTTGCAATTGTATCTAAGAAAGTATTTTGGGGGGCCAATAAACCCTTCCTTGCCGGCATCGAGTCCCTCCTGGCGAGCTTTTCTCCGCTCGATTTAGCTGTGTCCCATAACATAACATGATAACACATATTGTATTGAAATTACTTCTTCTCCTTTAATTTCTGGCCATCCTGGCCATCAAATAGCTTATTTACAGGGCTTTATCAGACTAAGGAAGCTTAACCAATCACCGCTCTTTATCACATAAATTATCAAGTTAAATTTTTTAAAAATCCTACACTTTTTACAGTGATTATCTTATTATCTTTTATGGCTAAATAATATAGTTAATTTTCGATTGGAAATAGTGCTAAATGAAAAAATACTAAACTCACCTCATCAATGAATTTTCTCTATTTGTGCATAATTAAGAGACATTTCAATTATTCAGAGGAAAATTCACTGAAACACTGTAAACACTGTAAACAATTGGCCTAGAGTTATTTGTGCCATGCCATAAATGAGTAAATCTCGAGTAAAGCCGTTAAAAAAGAAAAAGAAAAAAAATGAAACATGAGAAATTGGTTAATTTATTAGCTAACGCACAGAGAATCAATGTGAAAATATCGGTATTGAAAAGGGTGATAAGAGGAGATGAGGAAAAAAGGGATTTTGAGTGCGGAACGAGAGGTTGTCTTCTCCCTGATCTACTGGTGTGATGGCCCGGGCTCTCTGTCCTGGCGAGCGGACTTGCGCCCATCTACTCAGGCGCAACATGTGGCAAAATTCTACTAAACATCCAAACTACCTACCACTATCACTATCACTATCACTATCACTATCGCTACGTACAATCGCTATTCCATTTCAATCGCATGCGCAATATTTTACGTTTGCTTTAGTGTAGATTCACCCGACACTGACGATCACAAAGTTGGAACCAACCAAGATATAGGTAGATAGCCCTGTCTCCGCGTTTTCTTTAAGGGCTGTTGATGAAATCATGAGAGCAGTATCCCCAAATCATCAATCAACTTATTCATTCACAATCTTGGCATTACCATTTAAAATGGTTGCACATAATGATTTAAATAAGATATTGTGAGCTTATTCTCAATGGGTTTAGCCGAATGTTCGCAAAAGCTAATTCTCCTGTTCGCGATGATGCTCAAACTTTGTTTAATCAATACCACAGATCGGGATAACCATTTTTTTTTTACTCAATTGTACTCTAATGTAAAACAAAATGTTACCAGTAATGTTAATTTATTTTATGGAGAAAAAAATTGTTAATGCAATAGATCAATACATATAAATATTGCAATTTTGAGAATGAGGCTACTTTGAAAAATGCATATAAATGAATATATGCATACCACATGTTCCATGGTATGGTATAAATAAGTATAATTTGTGGGTACAAGTACAATTTTTCGGAGATATTATAAAGTGTGGATATGTTTTCCTCGTGCCTCGTTTTGATAGGATGATAATGACTGTGTACGATGTACACTAATATAATTAATGCAAATGATTGCCGCATTGCTGATGTCGTGTTCTGTGTAATAATCGCGATGCTAAACCTTTCGTGAACACAATATATGTACATACATGCAAAAAAATACCGCTTGAGGTGGACGACTTATTGATCTGCACCCCCGTCTCTTTCTTTCCAAGGGGCAAACATAGAAAGCTACAGTTAAGCTAAAGACTAATTGATAGAGCCTTTTGTATTGCTGTCTTTGCTGTATTTTCAGTGTGATTAGCCAGTAATGAATTCAGTATAGTAAAATGTGGAAAAATAAAGAATTACATGCATATTTACAGTCCGGTTGCATTTGAAAATCGGCCAGATGGCGTAGAAAACGCATGAACAACGAACATCCGGTCGGGTTGGAAAGGTATGTGTTGTGTGAAAAACCAGACGTCACATGAGAATTCGAAAAATGTCAACAAGTTTTTTTTTATTCAGAGATCTTTGTGTTTTTTTTTTTTTTTAATTTCTGACATATCGGAAAATGCCTTTTTGAAAAATTTCAAATGAACAAATAAAATATAATGCAGACATAAATGTTTTCCTGCATGAAAATTGACAGGGTAAAAGAGTTCAAAGGTCAGGTTTAATGGATTTTTAAAATATAATAATAAGGATATAATATATAACCAATGACGGTGCAAAGAGCACTAGACTCAATGTGGTGGATGTCTGTTGAGGTTGGATATATAAGAGTTGTACTCACAAGTGATAGCTCAGTGTGATTTTCGTTCAATAAAGCATCATAAAATAAAACATAAAATTAAAAAAATTAATATGTCGATGAAAGATGGTAATTTGATTCTAGCTGAGGCTCTGAGAGATCAGGTGAATTATATTTAATATGTAACTCGAAACATTGTAATGCATAATATATTGTTGAAATTTTACATTGTCACTCAGGGAATAAAGAATGTGTTTGGTATTATGGGACATCCGGTTATCGAATTAGCGTTAATGTTGCAAGGTATTGGCATTCAATATTTGGGCTTTAGGAATGAACAAGCGGCGTGCTACGCAGCTCAAGCTTATGGATATTTAACAAGTGAGTTATACATTTTAGAAGCATTGTCATATGTTGATAAAAATGAACATTTTCTAATGAAATAGAGAAACCAGCGGTGGTTCTATGTGTATCTGGACCAGGAGTACTGAACGCAGTAGGCGGAATGGCAAATGCTCAAGTTAATTGTTGGTAAATGAAGTTTATATGTCAAGTTGAGAGGAACTTGGAGCTTGTAACGCCTGCCAAGGATAATATTTCACTTGCTTTATCATATTAATTTTTGGGATTAAAAATTAGGCCGGTAATTGTCCTTGGAGGATCTTGTCCAGAGGATCACGAAGGCATTGGTGGTTTTCAAGAATATCCACAAGTTGAGGCATGCCGACTACACTGCAAATATGCTGCAAGACCTCCATCAGCAGCATTAATTCCATTACATGTTGAAAAGGCTGTTAGACTTGCAACGTATGGCCGGCCAGGTATCCATTAAAGTGCCAACAATACCATCATTTCGATGTTAATCATTTTAAAACGTTCAATGAATTGTCAGGGGCGGCATATTTAGATCTTCCGGCGACTCTTTTACGATCACAAGTATCTGAAGATGCGGTAGTAAAAGTTTTACCTTGTCCACCACCCCCCCTTCTTTTTCCACAGCCCAATCTAATTAATGAGGCTGCTACTTTGATTTTCAATGCGAAAAGACCATTAGTCATCATTGGCAAAGGTTTGTTTATATTACAATATAATAATACGATTAGTGGAAATATTGTCAGTTATTGGTTATTCATCCAGGAGCTGCTTATGCTCAAGCTGAGTGTGAAATAACGGACTTAATCAATTCAACGGGGTTGCCATTTCTTCCTACACCAATGGGTAAAGGCGTCGTTTCGGATTATAATGAAAATTCAGTTGCAAGTTCACGAACATCGGCATTGCTTCACGCTGATGTTATTCTTCTCCTCGGTGCCAGATTGAATTGGATGTTGCATTTTGGACGTGCTCCACGCTTTCAGAATCATGTAAAAATAATTCAGGTCTGTGTGAGATAAAATCCATTGAATTGAAATATGGCAATTATTATCCTATGCTCTTAGCAGAATTAAAACATTTTAAAAATCAATAGATTGACATTTGTCCTGAGGAATTGCACAATTCAGTCGTTTCAACCATCGCCATTCAAGCCGATTTAATTCCAAGTGTCAGTTTATTAACAGACTCCCTAAAGAAACAACATTATCATGTAAACAAGACGGATAAATGGTGGATACAATTATTAACTGATGGACAAAAGAATAAACAAAGAATTCAAGTAATCATTAAATATTATTATATTCACAATTGAAAAGTAATCCTTGATTAATCCTTGATTACTTACTATTTCAGAGGATGTCAGATGATATTTCTGTTCCTTTAAGTTATTACGCAGCATTCAAATGTATTCAACAATTTATTCCCAAAGGTGAAATTCTATAAATGCATCTATTTATAATTGATAATGATATTATCAATTAATGGCTTTCTTTGTTTTGGTTTAGATTGTATAATTTGCTCTGAGGGTGCAAATACAATGGATATTAGCCGAAGTATCCTTCTCAATTCAAAGCCACGTCATAGATTGGATGCAGGGACTTTTGGAACAATGGGAGTGGGCTTGGGATATGCCATTGCTGCGGCTCTTTATTACAAAGATGTAACTTCAAAAAAAAGAGTTATTTGCGTCGAAGGTGACAGTGCTTTTGGATTTTCAGCAATGGAAATCGAAACAATGTTCAGGTAAAAATCTCAATATAACCCATTGTCCCCCATTTTTCAACTACCGTCAATCATTATTATTTTCTACACTTCATAGATATAAACTGGCTATAATTATTATTATTTTCAATAATAATGGAATATATGGTGGAACAGACAAAGAAACATTCAAACAAATTCAGAATTCTGGAGAGCCGACTAAAGTGTAAGTTGAGTTTGCCATTAAATATTAACATAATATTTCAATATTGGCTTTGATTTATATATCTAAATTTGTCCATTCCTCATTACGAGAATCAAATTAATCTTTCGACAGAGTGTCTCCTCAGTTGTTAACCTCTGGGACCCGTTATGAAAAAATGATGGAAATGTTCGGAAGACAAGGCCATTACTGTGAGACCGTTCACCACATTCAAAACGCCATTAAAATTTCTCTTGAGGTATTTATAGATCAAATTGGCATTTCCATCGATAAAAAAAAAATCCGGTCATTCCATTATTTAATTCTCTAATTCTAGACATACGACGCACCAAGTTTGATCAACATTGTGATAAATCCATCCGCCGAGCGTAAGGAGCAAAAATTCAGTTGGTTAACTGAATCGAAGCTATGAATTCCAAAAACGAGTAAAAAGTGTATTGTCGGAATATATTACAACTTCATTTTACACAAATTCAACTTAGACTTGAAATGAATAATAAATAATTTGTAGTCTGTGTATACATTTTCGTAGAAATACTGAAAATTATTATTATTATTATTACTATTATCATTATTGGTTTTTGTTGTTGTTGTTGTTATTATTGGTATATCCTTATTTTTTAAAATAACAAAAAAAAAAGGGATTCCCCTACGTATCCATAATTGCCATAAGTTTCTGTGTAATCAAATCCATTGTAATGGGATCGAATGCATTGAGACTGTCAAATTCATCATGTATATATTGTGTATCCAGAAGTTGACCAGTAGGATTGCTTACTCGTTTCTTGGCGATTTTGGCTAACATATCATTCGCTTCATCAATTGTGAGTGTTAGGTGTCCTTTAGCTTTCACCATTTCATTTATCATTCCCATTTCTTGCTTTCTTTAAAATAAACAAATTGCGCCTTAACCTCCAAAATTAAAAGACATTGATTAATAATGAGACTTACATTTTTTCGGTGATATCGTTAATGCTTATCAAAATTTTCTGAATTTGAATTTTCACGTCTTCCGATTGAGACATGGTTTTTCAAGTCTGCATTTGCAACTTTGCTTCTTTACCAATAATTTCATATACTCTCATATACTCTCAGAATTTTGGGCTATATTCTATATATATATATATATATATATGAGGCCTCCTTGAATTATCGACATTCTCGGGCTCACGACCTGTTTTACTTACAGATACAGGCTGTAGGCTTACTTCCGTAGCCGCCGCAATGGAATCCCTTGTTAAAGCCTTTCCATAAACCCTAGCAATCTTCCTTATAATCTTCGATAATCTCTGCTAAAATTATTAAAGATAATGTAAACAATGCATTCGTTGAAGGTGAGTTAATTGTTTAAATTAAGAAAATAATGTTTAAGCTGTCCATTGAATAATAATTATCGTCCAAAGCCACTGGATAATTACTCGTATTATGGAGGAAATAAAGGTTATAATTAATCTGGACAACAATTACGTAAGCAATGAATTCTGAGATAAATCTGAGAGTATTCCATAGAATCCATAAATTTATATATCTTGCCCAGACAGAATTCAAGTAGCTTTATAGGAATGTAATATTTATTACTCTACGAATAATTATTTCAGAAGAGTGCAAGTGTTGAGGGAAAACAAATGGAGGAGGCAGGCAAGCAACTCTTGATTACTCTGACTTCACTGAACTCAGTGAATAGACAAGAAATACTAGAAGTACTCGAAATTGACATTGGCCAATATACCAAATTTCTGCCAAAATCAATTAGTCGAAAAAGCAATACAGAAGATGAAAATGAAGGGAATATTAATGAATTGCTATACGGAAAGATCATCAGGACTTTTCTTTCAACGTTTAATGACAATTTCGGTCTTTTGACGGACAATATGATTAGTTGTGTGGAAAATTTGCTAATAGTCACAGGTTCTAATTTTTTTATGCTCCATGAGCTCTTGATATCAATCAGTGAATATTTCAAACAATCGACAAATGAAGAATCCATGAAATTCTACAATTCTATTCTTGATAAAGTATTAAAAAGTGAGGCTTTATCGTCTTCCATAATTTCTGCCTGTGAAATGAGAAATGTGAGTAAATGGGAACAAGAGGAATACGAGAAAAGTCGTCAAGACTATATTCAAATATTAATTTCTTTGCCATCGAAAGTTGCCAATAAAATGAAGGATCAAGTGCCAGAAACATTCTCAATCAATAATTACTCAACAATTATTTCATTTCAAATAGTCCGTGCGATGCTCTATCTACATGAAGAATTAAATACACATCCCACTGTTCTGGACTTGAGAATAATTTCTTCCTTGATCAGTAAAGGTTTTTTAAATTTTGGAGCTAAAAATTTTTCGGATCTAATCAAGATTATGATTTCGTGGTGTTTGGAGGATGAAAACTCGTTAAATTATATGGTTCATGATATTCTAGATAATATAACGAGAGCCGCTATTCCATTCATGACAATATTGCTGTTGGAAAATATTGAAAATCCCCGAGATGTTGAGAAAGTATTTCAAGGTCTAATGGCACATGACCATTGGAAATTCATTTTGACAAAAAAAATGCTATTCTTTTCCTATTTCAATAATGATAAGATAATTATAAATTTGATCAATTGTTTATTTTCCAATGGGGCAGAGGAATATCTTACTGAGTCAATTATTAAACTTTTGGATATTTGGGGAGGTAGAAGTGCAATAAATCATTCAACTCTGGAACATCATGAATATATCACCAAAATCATATTATTATCGATGAAAAAATTGAGTAGGAAATTGAGGCCATTTGAAAAAGATTCTATTCAAGAGTTATTGTTTTCTGGCGTAGCAGCTCACTTGGAAAATATGCAGGTTGAAATCAGAGCGATTGGTATGATAACGGGAGAATTAATTGTCAATTATTTAAATGAGGATAGTACAGCAAGACTGAAATACGATTATGATTCAATGCCACAGGCGGGTGCGACTATTGTATGTAAAATTAAAGAATTTTGGAGCGAGAAATGTGAAGAGTGCCACGGTTTTTCATCCTCTATCACAGCTGAACAATTGATCACAAATTTGGGGGTAAAATCATCAATAACTTGGAAGGAAGAAAAAAATGCAAAAGCTATTTATCTAGATAGAGAAATTGTAAAAACGCCCAAGGATAGTTATCATGAAGATGTTAATGATTTTAATGAGAAAGAGAGTGAGAATGAGGTGTATTCAAGTAATGATGTTACTGAGAATAGCCTGGATAGTGACGATGACCTTATTCCTTACGATATGTCAAACGATCGAAAGAGTTTTGAAAATATTCAACCACTGTATCTTCGACAGTTAAAAGAGAATTTATTCAATTTATCGGATAATGCTGACCCTACACTTTTTTCCGAATCCCTCCAATGTTCAGAAAAATTAATACTATCTCAACTTTCAAACGATGATCCATCATTTGCCCTCGAGTTACTAAAAATGTTTTCTAAATTGACAGAAATATCTTATGTAGACAATTTTGATACGTTGAAATTCAGGGCCTGCGTAGCAATCACTAAAATTCATCCCAAATTATCAGCTGAATATTTATGTGAAGAATTTCACGCTCCAATTGGAAGTCACTCGGTTAATGACAGAATATTTTTTCTCAGAGTTTTGGCAGAAACTGCTCGTGAATTATCAAAAATCATAGCAAATGAAAAGCATGAAGACAAAATCATCAATAACACGGACCAATGCAACAGACGATTAGTTTCCAAACCAATATCACTGCTCCTAAATTCGGAAATTGGGAAAAAAATTGAAACATTATATGATGATGATTTCGAAATATCTAGCCATTTGGATAATCAAAGTTTAATAAGAGTCGAAGAGAGTCGAAATATCATATCCCAAAGAATTCAATTACAAACAAAAATTTTTGCTCACTCATCAGAATTTAATTCAAGAGGAAAAACAACGACGATATCACTGAATAAGTTCAATGACGTAGCATCATATTTTTTTTATCCCCTTTTGTATGGAATACAAACCTCAGGTGAAAATGTTTTTCACAGTCCGAAACATTTTGAAGATCATGGCAATCTATTGTTAATGAATTTCATAAAAACACTGTCTATAATTATGATATCTGCTGAAAATTGTATAATTGCACCTAAAATGGCAAGAGAAATATTAGAATTTGCCTGGACCATGAGATTTCATGAACAAGCCATGGTGAGATGCTCTATTATAGAGTGCATTGCTGCTGTTATTGTTACCGTGCAAAAGTCTCATATTACCGGTGAAATTTTTGATTTGTTGCTGGAGCTTAGAATATGGCTAATGGATATGTCCGAGGAGTCATCGAGAGGAGATCCTCATGCCCAATGTAAATCAGCAGCGAGAAATGTTATTAGCTTAATTAATTCCTTATTTCCATCATTCCATTGTAATGTATAAATCAATAAATATGATATATTATTCATCAATTATTAGTTTGAAAATTTTCATTTAATAATTCTTAATGCATCCCTCGGCTTCACCGTCCATACTTTTTTTACTGAAGGACTGTCGAAACATTGCAAACAATTATCATTCTCATAAAAGATTGGCAAATGCATTTGAAAACGGTAATTTCATCAACGTCCCGGCCGCTGCTACTTCAGCGGTCGGTGCCACCGCTAGGCAGATAAAAAAAAAAAGAGAATTCGCTCCTAATTTTCTGAGCTATAATTGCCAATTTTCCTTAGTAAATGTCTCATGATAGTGCAATGATATCGAAAAAAAACAAAAATTTTGCATCTGCAAAATTACATTATTTTTCTCCTCTATTTAATCGCTACAATGAGTAATTTAGTTGAGAAGAGATTCATCATGTCGTCGTTGCGTGTCGGTATGTGTAGCATTATGTACTTTCCCTTTAAAACGGTTGTAAATCAAACTAGCACCAATTATGTCATTCTTGTCCCGTGTTTCTGTCACACCTATACGAGTTCAATAGAGAAGCGGGAAAGCTACAGTTTTTTCATATATATGTAATTATATTACACATAAGTAAATATCAACTATTCATATACTAATGTTGATGTAAAAGAGGTGAAATTTATTAAAATTATAGTATCAAGTTATCAAGATTTTATTCAAATTGGCCTAACGTTTTCGATTAACCAAATGTTAATTCAATATATATTCGCCTTGCACCAAAATTTCCCCCATTATCCATCGATTTCTGGTAATTGATTGGCTAATTTTTGGATATAGCATGATGATGATGTAGAGCTGTGCCCCAGGGAAATGAACTTGTTGAAAAATAATTAAAGGGCGAAATAAGTTCATTGGAAAATAATCCTGAGGATGTAGCACTCCATAGGAATAGCGGGTGAAATCTCACAAGTGTTTTTGGTGTCAATTCCAACTCACAATATAATATCCATGCAATATCATTGTGTCATTGGGATGTTTAAATTTGAACAACTATTCTATGTATTTATATTTACTGCCCAACGGTGTTTATAGATTAAAAATTGCATTTACCTATAAAAACTTACCTAAAAAAAAAAAAATCCTGTACTAATTAAAGCTTATTATTTGTAATATATAAAAATAATATGCCACAGTAGATAAAAAATTGAAAGCAATGAATAATATTATAATGAATGGAAAACTATTGCGGTTAGAAGAATTCGGTCCACTGAAAGTTGAAATACTGGGGGGCATCGACAACGTGGCCTAGAAATATAGAGTGTGTATTGAGAAGAGAAGAAAAAAGCGGGTAAAAAAAAAAGGTGGAAAAAAATGTGAGGACCAAGAAAAATGTATGGAAAATGGAAAAGAAAGAGAGGAAGTAGTATATATAGTGTGTAAAAGAGAGGGAAATAAGTAGTAGGGATGTAGATGGACATTGATGGTGAATTGTCGTTATTAATAATGGTAATGGAAATGGTCGATAGGTCGATTGGGTGAAGAGCTGGTGAAGAGCTGGTGAAGAGCTGGTGAAGAGCGGTGTAAGCGGTGTAAGCGGTGTAAGGAGTGTAAGAGTGGTTGGAAATGAGAGCATCGTGCTGTGTGAAAGTAGGAAGGGGAGCTATAGCAGCAATCGGCGGTCCTCTAACAGCTTCAGTCGTTCATGAAGTTCGAAGGACGACATACGCTCAGGAGGGTCTAATTCGGTGGTTATCTTTCACCCTTTTCGTGTCTTAATTAAGAAATTCTTTCAAATTTTCCCTCAAAATTTCTCTTGTTACGTCCTAACGCAAAAGGGCACTATTATTCTATCACTTGAATTTCTCAGCGAGAATTATATTATATTTATATATAGTTTAGACCATTATTAGTCGTCATAAGTCAATTTCTTTCATTTCACTTATTAAAATACCATACATTCACATACCGAGAAGAAGAGTACGGGAGTTCCTTTTTACAAATCTAACGAGAATGCGTCGCCACATCGTCGCCACAGTTTTTCTACTGTGCTGTTTCCAAGGTTAGTTTATATTATTGCTTTTTCCTTTTGTCAATGTCATTTCATCGCTGCTACTTCAATATTTTTTCTCCATTAAAGGAAAAAAAATATTAATTAAAATTTAAGCCACAACCTCGAGACTACCATTTTCAACAGATACTTAATATGCACTTGAAATGGTAGACATGAATGAGGAAAAGATTCGATTATTCTTCTTCCTTTACCCCGTCTCTTTCACTCATCTCTTCAACATATATTAATTGTTTTTCATGTCAATATTTAATAGGCAGGTCTACTTTCATTTCATAGTCTCATACTAATAAAACAATCTGACATTATTTCTAATTATTGTTGGCAATTAATTTCCATTCAAATGCATAATTAAAAAAATGATGGAATAATCGTAGATCAAATGAAATGAGTAAAAGGATGAAAGAATGAAGAGAGAATAAATGCAGGACAATGAGAACGATGATTCATGTTGAAGTACAAGTATAAGCTTGGGAAATACAAGTCGTTGAAACGTGCGCGTTAAACCAAGAGATTTTACACGGCCATTTACAAATTTTGGCATAATAATTAATTGGTAATTTATTATGATTTTTATGAAATTATATTTCATTTTAATGTCGATATTTCTTTAAAAAATTCAAATTGCACCGCTTGAATTGTTAAATTCGTTAATTCTATTATTTTATTATAACTATATCAGTTTATTTCTATTTTGCATGATAAAAGAACGAAGCTATGCATAGTCCAAAGTAAGATGATGAACAGGTTTTTATTGAAAAAGAAAAACTGATGAGCTGCGCCGAGTAGGCTATGAGTTCTGCGTTATTGTTACCATTTCAATGTTCTTCTTCAGAATTTCAATGACAAAATTAACCATCATGGCCGTTCAAAAACTGTCTGAGGCTTCAGGGAATGCGAGCAATTGGCTTACTTCAGTGACCTGGAGACCCAGTCAGTTGTGTGATGAATTTTAATTTTAATCGTTTAAGTTATTTTTCAAATTCTCTCTAAATACTTGTTTCTTTTGTTTCTAATGAGCCAGAAATAGAGGATGTAAGATTGATCGGTAAGCTATAAAGATAATTTCCGTGTGTATAGTATATGTACAAATCGGAAAACGGTTCTTAATGGCTATCATGTTACCTTCTATACTATCATTCATTGGCATTCGTGTTGGTTGTAGATTTTTTGCGGTGAACAACATCATTTTTTATGAAATATATCAATGCGATACCCGATACAGATATATCGGTATATTTTGTTTCCATGGAATATCAAATTTACTAATTGTGCTCGATTAAAAATCTTTCAAAAGATAAATTTTTCTTCCTTTTTGATTTTTTAATTTTCTACACATTGTTGTGATGTTTATGAAAAGAAGCACGTGAGTTTAATGAGTTGGGAATCCGTATGAAATTACGGTCTTCCAGTTTACGGCTGACCCAGAAAGCACCTCTTCCTTTTTCTTTCTTTTTCCAATCGTATTTCTATATTCTTTGTATCTTTAGTTTCTTTCGTTCTGCCCATTACAAAAATTTATTTCTTCCATCATTATTGCTAAGCCGGTTCTACAGCTCACAATTTACGATTATTAAATTTATTTGTGTCTCAAATAGGCAAAACAATCGGAAGATTATCTGTATATAATAATGCATATATGGAATTATTGTCTATGATAAACGAAAAAAAAAAAAAAAAATCATTGAGCGAAGATAATCCATGTTTAAAAGTGGTTAGTGGGGCTCAACATGGTTTTATTGTTGCCGCTGTAAATAGTATGGAAAAAATCTCATCAGTCAAGCTTAATAAGAAATAAGGGCATTGTTATTAAGAATGAGACGAGAGTGCAAACTTGTGGTGGCATTGATGGTGTTTGGATTTGCCTTGTACGACTTATCGAAACGCGGCCTTGGAAGAGAAACCATAGACTAACAGTGCCGTGTACCTAATAACCCATAGTGGGATGCTCGGAATAGTCTTTTACTGTTTTTCTAGTCTTTTTTTAGTCTTTTTTTAGCGGATACATATATAGGCTAGTGATAAAGCCTATATACGAATTATATCTCACCTTTTTGTACGGGGGGCATAAAGTAGGTATGGAGGTAAGGTCGAAGCTCTTTCGTTCTTTATATATACATATGGTTGGCATACTAGTATTACTACAGCCAATACCATACACATGATATCCTTTCTCTTTACGTACACATATATCGCAAAACTCTTACCAATTTCACCACCTTGTGCCGTTTTGTTGTCACATACTGACATATATGAAAATATAAATTTCCACTTCTAAACTTACTTATGCCTTTGCATCAGTTTTTCTATGAGATTTTGATTATTTTGTGAATTTATCTTGTGCCGTTCCACTCCTACATACCGATCCTCACTATTAAATATAAACTGCCCCTGGAAATTTCCGGGTATCTTTTTTTCCGGTAGTTTCGGGCTAATGATAACTGTTAATCGAGATTCTATTGGTTGTTCACCCTGTGCATGGAATAGCTCTATAGTAGAAATAAACAAGAAGCTAAGTTGTAAATCCATAAGTGCTGTTGACCCATGGAGCACTGGACCGAGACCGATAATATATATATATATATATATATATATATAAATATATGTGCCATACGATGTTCAATGCGATACGGTCTCACTCCTATCGGTAGAACTCGAACAAATAGACAATGATTGAGTTAATAATCCCAGGCTAAATAACGATTTCATTTTTCATCATTTGTAGAGCTAGTGGGAGGTGTTTGTCCACGGATATGCCCAATTGGGGGCGAGCCGGTATGCGGCAGTGATGGTATTATATATGCATCACAGTGTGAAATGCGCAAGAAAATGTGTGGAAAAGGTAAGATGACCAATGAAAAGTAAAATTGTCAATTGTCAGTTGGAAATTTGAATTTGTGAATTGGGGTTTTTTAATTGCGATGTGTAGGTGTGACAATGGCAACTGATAAAACAGCGTGCTTGAGATCTTCGGGTAGTAAATGCGAACACCGTTGCCCAACTGATCAAGATCCTGTATGTGGCACCGATGGCCGTACCTATCTTAACAAGTGTATGCTCAGAGTTGAGATATGCAGGGTGGGAATCGAACTCTCACATCTTGGTCCATGTAACAATATATCAGCACACCGAGAAAACTGTCCAGTATCCTGTGATTTTGCCCCCCTAGACGGACCGGTTTGTGGAAGCGATGGAAATGTCTATAAGTCGACATGTCAAATGAAACTTCTCACATGCAGGTAAAGACAAGCTATTTCATTATCCTTACTGTAAGTATATTAAGTATATTTCATTTATGGCGTAGATGAAAAATCTATAAGAATATTATCAATATTTCATTATCTAATTATCCTTATTTTTGTTCGTAATGTTGATTTGATAGACAAGGTGTAGTAAGGACAAATAAAAAGCATTGCCAGACAACAAGACACTGTCGGGAATCATGCTGGCGAGGTGCTAAGCCAGCATGTGGCAGTGATGGCAATCTATATGCTAACACGTGTAAAATGCGAGCCAAAAATTGTGGGTGAGTGAGACATTAATTAATTACCCACTTTAAATGGCACTTAAAATTTCTCCCATTTTCCCTCTTCTATTTTCATTTATTCTCTAGGAAACATGTATTCGAGGTACCTATGTCATTTTGCGTATCCAGAGAACGAACATCTAGTAGCGTTCCTACTGCTTGTCCACTCGATTGTAACAATGATAAATCAATTCAAGTTTGTGGATCTGATGGAAGTATTTATAAGAATGAGTGTGAAATGCAGATGCTAAATTGTGGGTACGTTTCAAATATATCGTTGTATATCTTGTCCTACAAATTGACTAGACAGAATGATTTTTTTTTCATTTCTCTTACAATGAAACAGTGTTTCAAATTTTTTTCCACTAAAATTATCCACAACCTTATATCCATTGTAGTTATAATAAATAATATTTAACAATTGATTTTTCTTATAGGCAATCCAGAAGGAAAATAACTGTAGTTGATTTTGACAAATGTCGAACACGTCTGATAAAATGTTCTAAACAACAACAAAAATGTGGAAATGATGTAGATCCAGTGTGTGGAAGTGATGCTACCACCTATCCCAATCAATGTCATTTAAACGTTGCCATCTGCTTGTGTGTATAATATACATTATTTGTATTTAAATTTTTTTCTCTCTTTTATATAATTATTGCATATTAGTTAATTTTAAAAACATGAATTTTTTTTGTTGACGAATACCAGGAAAGGAATTCAACTAGCCCATGTCGGCGAATGCACGACTCTAAAAGAAGTTGAAGAATGTCCGGGTGATTGTAATGATGTTTTGGAGGAACCCGTTTGTGGCAGCGATGGAAATGTTTATCGGTATTAAACTTATTTGTGATTATTTAGATGGAGGTGATTAATTCATTCATTTCTTTTTGTAGATCACAATGTCATTTACGTCGTGAAACGTGCGGTCAGAGAGTAGTTTCTGTGCCAGCTCAGCATTGCCGAACAACAGCATTATGTAATCAAATATGTAATGGTGAACATGGTCAATTTGTTTGTGGATCAGATAATAAACTTTATCGAAATGAGTGTGAAATGAAAAGAGATAATTGCGGGTAAGATAGAATAATAGTGCAGATTTGCTTGCAACCTTCATCAATAATTTTGGTTATTCCTTTTCATAATTTTGTTTTGTTTCTTTGTTTGTTCGTTTTTTTTTTTTTTTTTTTTTTTCCATTTCAGGAAACACGTGTACGTAGTACCAATGAAGAGATGCGTACAAGGTTTTCTCTTTCGAGGCTGCCAAAAAATCTGCCCTCCCTATTATGATCCAGTGTGTGGCACTGATGAAATGACTTATAGTAATGAATGTTTTCTTGAAATTGAAAACTGTCGTAGTAGAAGTGTCGTTACAAAGCAGTACCATGGAGTTTGTGGACAACCTACGGAGGAACCCAAGAATTATTTATATTGATGAATGAGTGAATATCATCTTGACATAAATTCCACAATCGAATACTTGCCGTTCTAGATTAAAAGGAAGAAGTAAGCTAGATAAAGAATTTAATTCAACATTAATTATTGTGAATTTGTCAATTGAAATATTCTCTATAATTGAAATTTCAATTTTCAAAGAGCCATTAAAAATAAACTCACACACAACCAGATATTTCTGCGTTGTCCTCCTCAATTTTCTACTTCGGTTTGTGATGTATGTCCACAGATATATTATTATCAGTTTCATTTTTATTTTTACAATCATATTTTCCCCCCCTGTTTCATTAGGTTTATCATTATTCAAGTCGCTTACATTATTATTTATTATCCACACACTGTTAACATCATATTAATGTTATTGATGGACGCATGTGTTCATCCTTTGCATATTAAAGAGAGTAATAATGGTGCTTATATGATATTTTGTTTTTGAAATTTGTTTCTTTTATTTTTTAGTCTTATTCTGCGTATTTCCATGAAAAACAATCCGTAGTACAAGAATATAAACATTTCAAGGGCGTACAACATTTGTTTTTTTTTTTTTTTTTCATCTTCTTTTAATACAGTTGGTCTCTGAACTGGCAACTTTTAAGATGCAGAAGTTTGATTCTAAGTACTAATATGCTCGAGAATTCCTTGCCTTACGAGTGCTTCACACTGAGCCCTGGGTAACAAATGATGGGTATTCTTCGTTAAACTGATAATCTGGCCATCTTCTAATTCTAATTTTCCATGATCTACTAAACACCTGACCTATGAAATATGAAGAGTAGAAAGATTAATAATTGAACACCGTACGCCAAGATATTCAGTTACATTTGTATGAATAATAGATTATTCTAATAATTGGTATAAATAAACAGTTACCTCAATGTACAGAGATTTTGGAGGGATTAAATCCATTGTCAAATTTAATCCATAATTATCTCCAATAGATTTCATATAATTAGCCAAAGATTTACTATAGGCTTGAAACCACTGAGTCTCTAGGGGCATCAGGCTACTGTTAATTTCGGGAGGTAATATACTACCGAATTCCCATCTCATTTTCCTTATTCTCTGCATTCGATTATAGACATATGCTAAAAGACATCGTTTGTTCCGATTCAATGCTGCATGTCTTAGCTGTACTGATGTATAGCGAGATGCTGCCGAATGGTCTGCTAGAGTTGCATTTCTTTCAAGTATACCAAAATTACATCATAATTAAAACAAATTATCACCTAAATTCACATTCATTTATTTTTTCATTAATTCGGCCATTGAAATGCATTAAATATATATCAATAATTATTTCATATAATATATGGAATAATGTATTTATATTATAATGTAAATATGATAATTACACATCTTCCCAATTAGCTTCGTATAGAGTTTGCATTTCATTCAGTACTTGACGAAAAACCGCCTCCTGAACATAATAATAAGATAATATGAATATATATATATTATTATCAATAAATAATAATATTACTTGAATCATTTGCATATAATTTTGAGGTTAAATAGCTGCTCTGTATATTTACATTAAAACTTTTTATCTCTTCCGATAAATCCAATTCATTTATTAATTTTAATGCTTCTTTGCCAAACATTTTATTTAATTAAATAATATATTACGAGCTGATGTTCTAGATATAAGACAATGTTCCCTGCATAACGATTTTCAATTTTCCAATTCAAAATTTTCAACAAATAAAAAATAAGCAGAAGTAATTATTTCTATAACTAAATGATGGCTTAAGATGGCACCACCGCGCATAGTATATCAATTGTCTGCGCATATCCATCCACGTTCTGCGAGTCGGCTGACGGGCAGACACCCAAACATTGCGTATGGCGCCCACTCTCTCTTGAGGTAAGGTACTGCAATGCCGGTGGGGTCACTCAAACCCCCCCAGAGCTGAGCCTCTACTTTAGTCAATCCTCTTTGAACTCAACTGTGGAGTGGAGAAAAAAATTAGTATGGCGACTACTGTTTACGACAATGGCCCATCTAAATTCCAAGTTCAGCCAAGTTTGTCATGATTTTCGTAACCGCGTGTAATTTTGTTATTTGCCAACGTGCCATCAAAAAATCAAATGTCGTGATCATGGTTGGTTAATCTTTATATTTAATAAATAATTACGTGGTGATAGTGATAAAAGCAGAATTTACTAGTGCTCTTCTAATAAAATGTCTGGAAAAATACCCCACGCTTAATTGACCAAAAAAACCATTGCTTACTGTTCATGGAGTGTAATGTGTAGGTAGTATAATTAATGCATCAATTTAACAACGTTCTACAAAATTCTCACAACACATTATTTACTCTCGTAAGTAAATTTTTCTTATTCATTAATCGAGCCGGACAATGATCGTCAATCGCTATAATTATGAATCCATGGGACTATATGTATACCTCTCATTTTTCCAATTTCATAAATGAGTCTCTTTACTCTTAATACACATGTGATTTTATTTCCACTACTCCTATTTAACTATATACATACATATTTTGTTTCAACGCAGAATATCATTTTTCATATACAAAAATAATTTACAACATGCATAATTGTTGCATATTATACTAAGTAATTATAAAAGAGTATGTTTTCATTGAAATAAATAAATAATAGACATACAACGGTGTCTATCTATCAGGGGATATGGTTCCCCGGATCCACTTCCGGCTTAATCACTATGCTCGTCCTATATGGTTTTTGACAGCTTTTTTTTTCAACAAATTGCATAATGAGTGTATTGACCAGTAGGTTTTTTACGTTACCGGGGTTCACATTGACATTATATTTGTCTGAATAGATTGAACATTTTATCTACTGTTTTTCACGTAGCGAAGGAAGCACTTGACATACACCTATGAAAAGTAGAGGCATTCTATTCAAACGATTTTTTCAAACTATCATTAAGGCGTGTGTGGAGCTGTAAGTGAGTGCTAAGGACTCTTTTACTTTACATGTTCCATTCCACTTGAAATAGACGATAAATCAAGCTGGGGATCAGCCCGATGATCAGCTGTTATATCCTATCACATATGCATCTTACAAATGAAAAGATCATCTTTTCGGGTGTAGCACACCCTTCGATCACCGGGATTGCAAACGGTGTCGCGGAAACAACCGAGATCTGGGTCATGGCTATTAGCGAGGGGGGTGGATGCTCACAACTTCATGCGGCGCCTAAAAAACAAAAGCCTAGAGTTGTGTAATTTGCTATTTGAATAACATTATTGGGAGATGCAAACAGTCAATAATTGGTGCTTTCTCTGGATAAAAAATATTATTGTTATTGTTGGAACATTAGGCAGAGGAATAGCTAGGGATGTAATGCAGTATGATCCTGGATAGTAATACTGAGAGATAGCTTCGCGCAAGTGTGTGTCCGAGTGTGTATGCGAGTAAGCATCAAGTAACGATAAGGCCAACTGATATGCGTCTCGTATGCGTCTACTATGAAGATATGCATCCACAGAGTGTGGGAGCGCAGAAAGAACAGAGTAACAGGGTAACTGACTGCACTGACAATTATATAAAAAGAAAAAAAAAAAACAAAACAAAACAAAATTGTTTTAAAATAATGAGACGTGAATTGTCTCACGGTACTAAGCCCTTCCTTTGTATTTATGTACATCATGGAAACGGAATTTTCATTATTTCCACATATTATGATCAACTTTTCAAGTGGTGTTATAGAATTCTTCCTACGTGTGAAAAAATAACGCATCTCACTTCAATTTAAGTAAATTTAATTCAAATTCCCCTTGAGAACCCCTTTTTTTTTCTCCACTTGTAATTTCTTCAAAGTCTGTGAGTATTTTTCCTTCTGTGAGTGTCAGACTCATAAGCCAAATGGCATGATTGATGATTTATTTTTCTCTTTGACCTTTCATGATGAATTTTCATAAAATTTCTTCGAAAGGAAAAACTTCCCCCTCATGTATACTATTGCATGAAGGGGAAGAATTGGTAATGGTAAGCTGCTGGTAAGCTGGGTCGAGGCGCAGTGTTGCCGCACCCAACGTCGCGCCTGCTCCCCTGCATGGGAAGGACGTAGTAACTAGTAGTACGCCTAAAATGCTTTAAACTTGTGTTGCCAAGTGCTTTCCAAAGAAATTTCCTACTTCAATGGTTCACTGTTGTGTAATATGTATTTTTTATGCAATCAAAAATTGTTTGTTTTTTTATATATATAATACAAAGAATTAAAATATATCTCATTCAGAATGTTTTCATTGAAGAGCTAATATTCGGACTGGCTTTCACTGCGAATTTTACTTTCGGTACAAATGAATTGTGAGCAATAACAAGGACAAGGAAAATACTATAATTAGTGTAACGATTTGATAATTTTTAATATCCTCCAAATATTTATACTACCTTCTCAAATTGACATTACGTTGAACAAGTTGTGGTACTTTTTTTTATTAAGGCCCGCATGGAGCTGTGAGCTAGATATGGTGCTAAGTATGGTGGACAGTGGTGGATGGGTGTAGGCTCACCTTATGTATTCCATTGCACTTATTGGAATATCGAATATAGCGAGATGCTACTGTTGCATTCCATTCAATACTAACCAGACGGATAACCGCCTTCTAAACGCCACAATTTTAACACCACTATTTTGTTATTATTAAAGTAATATTACTAGAATTATTTGCATTTGATTTTGAGGTTAAATAGTTACTCTCTATATTCACTATGAAACTTTTCATCTCTTCCGATCAATCCAGTTTCATTAATTAATTTCAATTAATGGCCCTGGTATAACAATTTTTGTATTGGTTATTGAAGTAGTGGAAAGTATATTCAAGTGAGACACGATGTAATATAAAAAAGTATATAAAATATGAAGCTAGAATGATGGTAGATCGTGTAGAGAGCCACATCTTTATGTATCGCCGTCCAGTATATCGGGTATTGCAGTATCTTGAAACTAGCGAGTGAGTATTTTCAATAACTATGATGAATAATATCTACTATTGTTTCTCTATGATAATAAAAAAATTCAATGAAAAATTAAGTGGAAAGTGACAATTGAATGCTCAATTGTATTATACATAAATACTTGATGCGTTTATTGGTGCTGTAATATTAACGCTGTATATAATGTTATTGCAGGCCCATATATTGACTGAAATATATTGACTGAATACTAAATATTCATTGTTAAAGCAGTTCAAAATATATATTTGAGAAAATAGGAATTATAATTATTTAGAATGTTCCATGGTTATTCAACTCAGGGTTTTATATCTGCTGAAGTGACTTCTGCGCCAGATTTATTATGCTGTAAATCTTCATTATAACTTGCATCATCACAAATTGTCAATGATTGATGTAGGGAGGCATCTAATCGTTTTCGTAGCCATATTATATTATTGGAAATACTCACATATTTCCATTTCACCCAATTTTGAATATCATCACAAGTGTAAGCGACCATGGCAATCTAAAAGTTGGATAACTTTTTTATATTTTTAATTAGCGCATCCTATTGCATTTAATGGAAAAAAAATAAATAAAAAGTACCAGAGTTCCATTGATGATTACTGGAGTTCCAAGGGGTGGACATTCTACGTATTTGAGTGGTGGTTTCCCTACATCTCTTTCATCTAGTGACAAGTCTGATGATACAGCCCATTCCTTTCCATCATTTGGTGGCATTAAATTTTGAATAATTCTCATCAAAGTCGAGGAAAAATGGTCAATGCTTCTATTTCCTGGCGGATCAGGCAGAAACGTGAAAAAGGCATTTTTGTCTGCAGTTGCCTCATATGAAAAATTGATATTTTCAGACAACAATTGTCCATTTTTACTGAAAACCTTCATTATTGTCTTCATGGTTTCTTGGACCACATCTTTAATAAATTGATTTATAACAAATTTATTTTTCATCGATATTTTTTCCTCCATCGTTTTCTCTATATTGTTCCAATCAAAAGCAGTAATGGCTTGATCAATCATAGACATATTTGAGGTAAACTTTCTACCGTTTGCTCTTCGGAAAATCTGCCCCGTTAATATTTTTCCTATAATACTTGTATTGTTGTATCGATTCTGAGATAGTATCTCAATTTGATGGTTCATCTTTCTCCCCCTCTTGGAAGAATTCTTACTTTTATACTTTTTCATTTCATCGAGTGGCAACGATTCTTCGGGAAATAATATAGGCGCTCCAGTTAATTTTTCTCTACTCCTTTTTTCACGCGTGGATGAATGAATGTTCGGTATTTTAAAAATTTTTTTTTGTTGTAAACTCGATGGTGATGAGCCTTTAATTGCATTATCTTCATCTTCGTGTTGTGGAGAAGGAATATATTTAGCTGTCAGTTTTTTTGCGACATGGGTATTCTGTAAAAAAAAAATAATGGATAATTAATCATCTAACATAATGCTTGAATAAATAAATACAGAAGTGCTTAAGTTCTTATTATTATTATCATCATTATCATTATTATTCTTTACATTATAACTCTGAATGATAGTGACGACACTACACTTTTGACTGCAACACATATGTCCAATATCATCATGTTTTCCTTTTGGTAATTTTGGAATGTTGGCACCTTTGGCTTTGATACTAGAATGCCAAACACAATAGAATATCATTGTATTAGATGGAAGTGTTAATATGACGTCGTCACCGTTTCACTCGAAAGAGGAGGCGCAAGTGGTGTGTATAATCATAACTTGTCCTTCTGCTTCTCTTCGGTGATCATCAATTAGATATTGCATAATTTTGCGTGTAACAATACTTTTATTTACTCTCATTGAACCCTATGTTTTGAGCTCTTTATACCTGCAAGCCAGAAATAGTATAGCGAGATTATGAACTGAGTGGTCTTTTGCATTAACATCGACCACATAATTCGGATGCATTTCGAAGCGATTTATCTTGATAACATATGGATCTCCAGTTGTGGCCCCAATCATAATGGCAAGAGCAGCGTCAATGTGATGTCTGTAATTGGAATCGATTGAATGAGCGAGGATAATCATGTAATTGAAGCATTTGAAGAAAAATATCCGTGTTTATTTACTCATATATATCTGCTAAATGTATGCACGATGCTGTTGTAATTGCATGTTTCAATGTTAATATCACCCCACTACACATGAAATATCGATGTTCACTAAAAGCCGAAAGCCACGATATACATTAGCTTGGTATTGTCAATTGTGAATGACTTTGACTAACTTTTACCTAATTTGTTTAGCAACAGCACAACAAGACCCTGCATCTTCGTCTTTAACAATTAAAGCCTGCATTTTCATAATGTTATTGTCATCATCATCATCATCATCATCATCATTATCATTAAATTCTCGAGTTATGAAACCAAAATTCATTCCACGTTTGATGCGTTTTCTAAATTGCTGTTTTTCCAAAACAATCACTATTTTTTTTTTTTTACAACGTTATATAATATAAGAGAGATAAAAAAGGGAGTATCATTAAAGAGCTTACCCTACGATAATTATTGATTTCACCATTGATATCATTTTCTTGCCTCTGCCAATTAGGTATTCTTCTGTGGACATTCTTCTCCATTAAGTTCATCTCTTTTTTATGACTTTCCAAATCAAGAAATTTCCTATTTTTTCTCAACTGGATAAATTGAAAATTTCCCTTCGTTGTTTTATTGTTTGTATTTTCTACAATATCAGAAGAAGAACAATTTGAAGAATTAGTGGAACATGACTTTTGATTTTTTGATTTTCCTGGAGTTAATTTGTGTTGCTCTTGTAGATTTTTTGTACGAGCATTTATGCTGCTCACACTTGGCCTCTCACAATTTTCCTTTCCTTTACAGCCAATTGAAATATAAAAATTGAAAATACAATTTTCACAACTTTTGGCCATTGATGCAAACGATGAATTAGACGTTGTTATTAAATTGGTCGAATTTATTTCCAAATCATCATCAGAATTAGCACTATTCCAGTTTTCCAGGATATTGTTGATCCAGTGTTTATTGGTGTAAAGGTCTGTGTATAACCATTCAGTATTAGGCTTTCGATCATCACAAGAAACTGCAACAATTGCTACCTTATAGGACAAATTATTGACATAATAAGATTATTAATGTTTTATAATAATTTGATTGATTGATGGCAGAATAAAAGGTATATGCACATACCTGTGTATTGGTACGCATGACGGCTGTTCCCGTCTGAGCACAAGAGTGAGACCCATCGCTGAATCTCTTCGCCCTATATTTATAATTAATCCTCCCAAGTCCTCCTAAATTAGGCGCAATATTTTGTGATACTACGTGTGAACTCTACTTGTATCAAATTAAAAATTATTAACACTTAAATAATAATTATTGTCAATTGGATATTTGCATACTTATACTCTGATACTTACATATCCGACTATTTTATAAATAGCAACAATACAATTTCTATTATTGCAAAAGTTGATCATTGGACGATTTGGCAATTCAATCCTATGATAATTCTCTGGTTCGATATCACATGCTAAACTTAAAATGGCAACATTATGTTTTACATAGCTTGACGAATATGGATTGGTATTGTGTTTCGGATGAATTCTGTATTCAGCAACTTTAATTATTTGAACGGTAGATTTCCATGGAACAATAGCTACCGCTAAAGCTCCACGAATATTCTCCCTGTATTAATAATAGTATAATAATGATAGATTAAACATTAAGGGCCACATGGAGATACATGGAGATATGCCACTTTACTAATTTTCGCATTACCTAATATGAAGTGCCTCGTGTAAACAAGAAGCTGATGTTAAAACATGATTTTCATTTAGGATCGATCCCGCACACATCAGGTGCCTACGCTCTCTATAATCAAATATCATCACATCACACGAAACATTGCAATGTCGATGTTCTATTAAAAAATAAAATTAATTACGATTTTCTTTCTCCTTTATTGCACACCATATCAGCGTCTTCATCTTTAACTATAATTGCCTGTATATTGATAAGATCATTGTTGATAATTCCTGCTCTTAACATCCAATATAGGGATGATAATGATTTTACAGTTATCGATGACGCTGTGGTATTGGAAAATTCTGTAATCGTCGATTGATTTGATTGGAATATTTTCTCTTCGCTTAACATTCGCAGTATATCCCCACAATTAGCAGTCTTCATGATGAAATTAATGACACTTATAATCCAGATTGTAAAAAAATTAATTTTCATTTTAACGGAATAAAGTATAATCATTGAAAATTATTGATGAGATAATTCAAGTTTCAAGCACAATATTTCAGACGAATGAAAATTCAATACTACGCGGAAAATTTTTCTCCGCTCGTTCTTTATTGATCAATTACTTGGGAAATATTAGTAAACACTTGCCATTGTTCTGCCACTGTTACGATACTAGTAAAAATTTATGAATTCCATTGATTGTACAGTGATATGAGAGTTTATAATTCGTTTATAATTTATAAATTGGCAAAAAAAAAATCTGACTAAATATTATGGTCGATCGACTATAATTATTTGAACTCCAAGTATTACTTATTAATCTTGTATCTTTGATAATTTATTTCATGTCTCAAAGTCATTAAATTACATGTGAATTTTTTAAATTCATACTTTTCTTTATTTTCAGTCATGAAGGAATGAGTGCAAAGGTGGAAGATGGTGGGGGAGGTAGTCTTAGCCAGAGTATCCCTCGAGGAAGGAATGCATCTCCACATGGATCACCCACCCCCACAGATAAAACAACCCTCAAAGTCCATTTACCAAATGGTAATTGATTTTGTCATTCGACTATTTTAAAACGTGTCATTTTTATCGAAAATTGTTCATTACCAATATTGAGTTGATCTTTAATTTTCTTTTTTTTTTCTTTTTTTTTTCTTTTTTTTCAATAATACATCAAAGGTGGATTTAATGTGGTTAAATTTGGTGATGCGATCGATGTCAAAGGTATAATTGCACTCGTCACCAGTCGATTAGCCGTTGGTACTAGACATTATAAGAATCTTTATGCCATGAGGCTACATCATTCAGCAAGTGGAGAATGCTACTGGCTCCATCAAGACACAACAATGTTTCAAGTATGGAATACAGCTAATTATTATTTTCCTTATTTTACTTAAACTATTTTCGCTTTGTGCTTTTTAGGTTCAAGAAAAATATGAACGAAAACATCCTCACTCGGAATGGCGATATGAATTGAGGATTCGCTATTTACCTCAGAATCTCAGTGAATTGTATGACAAAGATAGAGTAACATTCTATTATTATTATGATCAGGTAAGTTATTATTTACTACTCTTAGACTACTTGAAGACTCCATCACTCCTTCATCTTTCTCATTGAAATCCGCTGAATTTTCTAAATTATGATGTCTAAAAATAAGGAAATAAAGTAAATAAATCAAATAATTATTTTCAGGTTAGAAATGATTATTTAAATGCCAATCATTCAACTCTGGATCAAGACACTTCGGTACAACTGTGTTGTCTTGAAATCCGTTACTTCTTCAAAGATATGCCACAAGTGGCATTGGATAAAAAAAGTAACTTGGAATACCTTGAACGAGAGGTAAATTTCAATACTTATTCATGTCAATGATATATTAATTCATCGGAATGAAATTTTTAATTTCTATACAATCACATAATCACCCTAGGTTGGATTACACAAGTTTCTTCCACGATCTGTCCTCAATGGTGTGAAGCCAAAAGCATTACGTAAACTAATACAACAGCATTTTAAAAAAGTTGCTGCACTTACGGAGCTTGAGTGTATGTTCAAATTTTTTGATCTTCTCAGAGCACACTACAGATTTGATCAGGAAAGATTTGTGTGTGCACTCGGGGTAAGATATTCCTTCTGGTTTGTAAATGTATTTATTGTTTTACCGCAATATCGATATTAATATTTGTAATCAATTATTTATCGATTCGATCAGTCAAGCTGGTCAATACCTGTAGAGCTTGTTATTGGGCCGGATCTAGGAATATCGTGTTTGGCACATGGAGGCGGTACCGTGGTATTGTATTTAAAATATTATTTTTCACTATTTGTTTTTCTTACATTCGACATTTCCATGATGATGATTTTTCTTTGCCCAAATATTTTCTCTCAAGTCTACAAGAATAGCTGAATTTTCACAAATTCAATCAATTCAAACTCTGGTATCGGATTGTAAAGAACACTCCAAGGTTTGCATTAAACTTCGAGTAGCTGGTGCTGCTGAACCTTTGAGTATTACATGCTCAAGTCTAGATCAGGCTGAAAGCCTTGCTGACTTAATTGATGGATATTGCAGAGTAGCAACATGTTCCAATACATCTTTGTGGAATCGAAAAGGTAATTAAATATTTTTATTTATGAAAATCAGTTAATAATATTTGTAAATTCAGGGGTCATCATTATCTCTTTCTTTTTATGTGAATTTTCAAGCGGCCCCGTGGAAAAATTATCCTTGCCCGTGTAAAGGTGTGTTTAAGATGAAGAAAAATAATCATTGAAAATGAGAAAGCAAATGAAAATAGAAACAAATAATTTCAGTAGAAGTAGCAATAATTTTATTTTACAAATTATTTATTCAGATGCACAGCCACCAAAATATCGTCAAGACGGCACTACTGATAGTCCAGAAAAAAATTTCATTAAAACAGGAACAATAGTATTTGAAGATTATGCTGAAATAGTCGATGAAGAAGGGGATTACTCTACTCCTGCAGGTAAATACTATATAGCTGAGAGATACGATATCTATATATATAACTATACTAATGTGTTTAATTAATTATAGCTCGTGATTATGAAATAGTAAGGAATCAAGTAGAACTCGGTGAAATCATAGGTGAAGGTCAATTTGGAAACGTCCATAAAGGTTCCTATAAAGGAAGAGATGGACAAATTGTCGCTGTTGCCGTGAAAACATGCAAAGTTGATGCAGATTTGGCAACTGCTGAAAAATTTTTGGAAGAAGCTTATATAATGCAACAATTTGAGCATCCATATATTATTCGATTGATTGGAGTTTGTTCTGAAGCTCCTATTTGGCTTGTTATGGAACTCGCAAGATTGGGAGAAATGAGAGCCTATTTACAATCTCATAAGCACCGTCTTGATCTCGCAACATTGCTCCTATACACCTTTCAACTGAGTACGGCATTGTCTTACTTGGAGTGTAAGAAATTTGTTCATAGAGATATTGCTGCAAGAAATGTACTGGTCTCTTCGCATACGTGTGTTAAATTAGCTGATTTTGGATTGAGCAGATGGGTAGAGGATCAGAGTTATTATATTGCTAGTAAATGCAAGCTACCCATCAAATGGATGGCACCTGAGAGTATTAATTTTCGGAGATTTACGACATCTTCAGATGTTTGGATGTTTGGCGTTTGTATGTGGGAAATATTGATGCTTGGTGTGAAACCATTTCAAGGAATCAAGAATAACGAAGTTATACGTAAATTGGAAAATGGTGAACGCCTAGCATTGCCTGATCAGTGCCCTCCGCGTTTATACTCATTGATGTCGCAGTGCTGGAGTTATGAACCCAGTAAAAGGCCTACGTTCAAAGATATTCGAGAAAATTTGCAGTAATTATGTCTATCTCATTTTCTCATCATATATTCATTTATAACACATGGATTATTCTATTGATTTTTTTTTTTGTTTTTATTTAATTTTTTTAATTTTTTTATATAGTGAAATTCTATTAGAGGAGAAACATCAGCAGCAGGAAATTATGAAAAGGGAGAATCGAAGAGTTCAAGCAATGTCTTGGGGTAAATTTCATATTTAACCTTTGCCATTATAATGACAATACATTTATATATAATTATTTTTTTTTTTATTCGTTATAGGAGCTGATGATGCTCCACCAAAACCATCACGTCAACATCAATTCCCTGACTCATCAGTGACATCAACATCGACAACAGTAGCAGCATCGGGAATAACACCAGTCGGTCCTGTTTCTACTTATATTATAGCCCAAAGTCCGGAAGTTCTTGCTCACTTGATGAAGGAAAATCAAGAACGAGGAGTATGTCCATCAGTGTATACTACCCCGGCTTCAGCCTTCAACACTTTGGCGGTTCAATTCCAAGAGGAAGAAAAAATTTTGACCACTGCCCCCGCTTCAGTTCTTCCTTTTTTCAATCCTTCTCCTGCAAGTCCTAGAAATGATGTTAAATCATTAGAAATTCCATTAGAAACAAACCTTGACTCATTAAATTCAACTGATACAGTTTCTTCAATGATTTCTACACTTGATGTATCAGACATGACACCCTATAATCAATTACCACTCCAATTCAATCAACACTCAACATTACAGCCTCCAAAGTCTATTAAAGAGATGCAAAATGTTCAAAATTTATATTCAGTCAGCTCAAAGGTAGTTACTAGTGTAGCATCAGATGTTTGTTCGCCAGCGCAAAAGATATTTTGCACTACTACCTCGACACCAGATATTTACGCTCCAGTTGCCAAATTTACTCAAAGCTCTACCATAATAGGTACATTTTCTCAAATTTGTTCTTCGGCAGGTGCCGTATGTGATAATGCGAGACATTCAAGTTCTATTTCGACAACTTGTATGGACGATTGCCCAATTACACAAAATGATTGTGAGGCCTCTCAAATACACTTCCATCCATCAACTCATCAACTCTATTCATCAAATTATCTAGAGTCAAAGATTTTCAATTCATCTTATGCAAAAGAATCCTTAGTTCATCAGCATGATTCTAAATTTCTATCCTCTGGCGAACAATTAGTTTCTAATTTACAATACGGAAAAGTTGCAAGTATGAGTACAGTTGTAACTAGTGCTGAGTGTCTGTACGAGCCGGTTATCAAATTTCATGTCCAAAATTCGTCAGCTTTATTGCATAAGCAGCGCATGCAACATCAGCATATTCACGAAATTCAATCACATAATTCAGTAGGGAGCTATCATGCAAATTCTCAATTAAAACGTATGAGCTGTGAAAAATTGATAACATCCAAAGATTCAACTCTGAACGACATATCTGTCAGTTATGGTGGCGATGGCCACAGTGATGTGGGTGATGATAATGATGATGATAACGATGACGACGACAACAACAGTGATAATGATAATGATAATAATCATGATAAAGATGATGACAATCATCTTCATGCGGAAATACAAACTCGTTTTATCGAGGATTATCAATCTGATTCGCAATTACAAACAGCTAATCAATCTGCTAAATTCGACTCCCAGGCTAGAACTGGTAATTTGAGCCAAATGACTGATCATGATGATGCCGATAATAATCAATTGAATAAATTTAATAAGGGTAATATGGGTGGGTCTATGGTTTCATCATTAGCCAGCAAGCCTGTTGTGTCCTCTTATGGGTCAATTCAAGAGGTTCAGCATGCACAGGTTTGAATAATGAATGGAAGAATTTCTCGTTGTTCTTTATTTGTTCATCATTTCTTTAGCACCATACTGATTTTCATTTATTACAGCACAATTTTTTTTTCTACAAAATATTTTTACAAGTTGTACCCTTAGATTTCATCGGCATGAATGAATATTAAACTTGATTACAGCATGATTTTTCATCGTTAAATCGACATTATGCATCTCTTTAATTTGAAATATACCGCATGAAAGATCGCCACATTATTTATTTTATTATTATTTTTTCTCTCTTCTTATTTTATTTATTTCTTATTTTTTAGTTTTTCAATTCAATTCAATACACATTTAGACTTTATTTCATGAAATTTGAGTTTATATCGAATGGTTTCACATATTAGGATGTTTTTTCAATTGAAGAAAAAAAAAAAAAAAACTTGTATTTTCTGTTAAAGTTTCCAAGGAGTACGCAGTCACCTGTATTCCAGAATCCAATTTTGGAAAATCCAAGTTTTATCGAGGAACAAAAATTATTGGAACAGAGATTATTTGAACAAGCAAGACAGAGTGAAGAAGATGGTCGTTGGCTTGCTCGGGAAGAAGTAAGTAGGAAATTAAAAAAAAAATACCATGCTGGTATTTGTTAAAGTGGATATTTCATTTTATTATGAATAAATTTTAAGAAACGGTTGTCTATCGCAACGAGCGGGGATGAGAGTGCCAGTCCTCCAATATCACGTTCAATCACAGAATCACCGACGCAAGAAGCTCCTAGCACAAATACCTCCTCTTTAAATTCAGAAAAGAGTGACAAAGTTATAGTAGTGAAAACACTTGAACCTACTCCAACCGCAGATTTGGATAGATCAAACGACAGGGTTTATGATTGTACGACAAATGTTGTACGAGCAGTTATGTTTTTATCACAAGGTGTACAACAAAACAAAGCAGATCAATATTTAGAACTGGTTCGAAAAGTTGGGCTCGAGCTCCGGTCTCTATTGTCATCAGTTGATGGATTGGTCGAAATATTACCAGTCAATGCACACAGAGAAGTTGAGATGGCTCATAAGGTTCTCTCTAAAGATATGGCTGACTTAGTGGCTGCCATGAAATTAGCCCAAACATATAGTTCAACAACACTCGACGCTGAGTATCGTAGGGGGATGCTCGCTGCTGCTCATGTTTTGGCTATGGATGGGAAAAATCTGCTTGATGTTATCGATTCGATAAGGGTTCGTTATCCTCAAATCAATAATCAAATTTGCGAAAAGTATCGCAATAATTTTGAGTGTGGATTATCTCGTCAGTCTTTGCCGGAAAATAGATTGCATTCAAGCTATTCTGGAGATTATTTGTTGAGGAGGAGTCAATCAATTGAGAGATCAGATATTCCTTTTAAGCAAAGCCAAAGTGGAGAAGTTCTTCATAGACTAGGACAATCAATAGATAGGGTACTACTCCCTTACAGTCCATCGGATGTGGGTATAATAACTAATAATTCAAATGCGGAAAAAGGTCATAGAATGCTGACAAATAGTCTCGAGAGGAATACTAATTTCAGAAGGCAGTTGATTTCAACAAACAGTTTGGAAAGAAAAAAACCAATTATTACGTGTTCCAGTTCATTTCAAAATTCAATCAGTTCACCTTTATCACCTTTGCAAATGGCTCAATCTGTTACCCATCAGTCGTTAGATTCTTGTCCGGTGGTACAGATGTTGGGAGACGATTGTACAAGTGAAAAATTCAGAGGGGAAAATATTACAAAGAGTTAACTGAAATTATATCAGAATCGAAAATATAAATTGCTGAGCACGCTGATAGGTCATTAAAATTGAATATTTTTTTTGGTTTGGAGGCACACAACATGATGGAAAAATAAATTTGAAAAATCGAAAAAAAAAAAAAAATATCAAATCCATTTTAGTCATTCATAATTTTATCATTTGTGAGTGTATAAATTTTCTTCATGCAGTTCTATTATTTAAAATACTGTCAAGTTATGTTATCCTACTCAATGACAAATGTGAAATGGACAATTAATAAAAATGCAAACTCATAATCCTAATTAAGAATTATCTTGTAGATTTTTAGTCGTTTTCAAGCGTACTTATTAATGATAAACAACAGTATTGATTAGTTATTAAAGAATTAAAGGGAATGATTGAATGTAATTCACAAAGTCACAAGAATAGTTAGAATTTCAATGTAATATTTTGCTTCATATTACACCGCAGTCTAATAAGTCTTGTTTATTGCACTACTGTACCTCGTGAAGCGTATTAAAACAAATTCGATTACTATATGGTTCAATGAAGAACAGTGTAGAGCGTTTGGTGATCAAGTGTTGCTTCAACGAGTAAGTCAACTCCATATTCATTGAAATTAACATTTCACTCTTTAATTGCACTCTAATGCGCTCTGCTGCGCTTGTTGTCGAATAATAATATGAACAACAATCAACAAGACAGTATAAGGTGGCATTTTATTGATTATAAAATTTATAAGTGATGATGAATGATCCTTGAGAGATAAAAGTTTGCACACTTGAATGTGCACTTTTTTAATGCCAACAACAATAATAAAAAATACCCAATATAAATATAAAACTATCACCAAATGCCGATTCTTCAGTTTTATCATGTTCATTCGAAATATCTCACTGCCAAATTATTAAAATTCATATTAAAAACTAGTATGATAATTTAGGATTTTATGACTTTATTTTATGATTGAAAATCCTAATTTTCATTTTAGTCGTTTGTAAAATGGAATTTTCATAGTATATTTCAAAAAAATCGAGAGACAAATACAGTAAAAATTAGAAGAAAATTTCATTGTATTAATGCTGGATTGTTTGATTATCAAGACGATGTTGAAGCTGCCTTCATGATTTTTATCCATTTTAACAATCTCAGAATTTCATAAGTTTTTATCGCCAATCAATACTCATTCCTAGCTCTTATTTATTATAAGTCCAAGTAAAAATATATAATAACAATACAGTTACATTTTTTTTTCCCTATGCAATGCTGTAAATACAGTGTGGTTATTTTCTCAATTTTATTATTCTATTATAAATAAATATGTATTTATATGCAAAATATATAAATGGAAATTTGTCATTGGAGATAATTGGCAAGCATGTCATTCAATTGTTTACAAATTGTTATACAATCAGCCAAATAGGTTCGTAATTGCATTTTTTTTTACTTGCATGGTGTCATCTATTCATTATTCACTATACTGAGTGAAAGGTTGTGAAAGGGTGTGAGAATTTGAAGGTTGTTTTGCAATAATTTTATTGTAAAACAACCAAGGAAATGTTTATAACAAGTCTTCGGGTCCCCAAAGGCGCACGTCCATGAAGAATTAACGCTTTAGCTTCTATCGGAGTTCAATGGTAGGTGGTCTTATTGGTATTTTACTCAATATAAAGCTTTCTGCAAGAAACATCTCCCTATCATTATCAGAAAGATTTTCGTTTGTGCTGTAAATTGTAGTCATCTCATTCAAAGTAGACTCGTCATTGGTACCTCCAGAAAATGGTTTTGATCCAAAAGAATCACCGGATAATTGAGATTTTGTAATAAAGGGATTATTAGATGCAAGTGGTATTGTGGTTGAAATGAAAGGGCCACTGCTATTATTAGTAAACTTTTCCGGTGGCTCAATGGTGTTTCCAAAAGATGTCGAAACATTAGCTTTAGAAACTCCAGAGAGTGAATTATCGAGAGAAGTAATGGGAAACGGCTGCCCAAACGTAACACCAGTAGTAACAGCTGCCAATTTACCCAATGAAACATTATCGCTCAAATTCAATGGATTATTATCATTTCCGAAAGAAAGAGTATTATTGGGAGCATTTGTGAAGTTACTCGTACTTGATGTAGCTAACGTTCCAAAATTATTGGTAGTTGGTCTGGTTGTTGTGACCAAAGAAGAATTTTGCTGTACCGTCGTTTGCTGTGAATTCCACCCAGAATAAATAAATAAATAAATAGGCAAAATTGAGTACAAAGTATTACTAGCCAAATTTTATCCAAGTAAAGAACTTACAACAAAAGGACTTGCAGAATTGGTGAAGCTCCCCTGATTACCGAAAATGCTTGAAGTTTTCGCCCCTCCTAATCCTCCTCCACTCACACCAAATGTTGGAGTACTACCGAATGCTACTGTATTTTTGGAGTTACCAAAAATGCTCGTCGAGGCTGGTCCATTAAAAATACCTCCTCCAAATATATTTGTTCCCTGACTTTGACCATTTCCTCCGACAAATGCTGAACTCGATTGACTTGTTGGAAAAATGCTCGTTTTTTGTTGTTGATTTGTATTGAATAAACTTTGATTGTTGGGTGTATTGAATGCCAATGTATTTGTTTGGGATACTGGTGTTGGTGGTGTGGCGGTGGCGGTGGCGGTGGCGGTGGCGGTGGCTGATGTAGTGGAACCAAAACCAGTCGGCATTGCCTGAGAGTTGGCAAAATTTGATGTTTGACTCTTTGTGCCACCCCCGAAAATGCTAATGGATGTCACTTGTGGTCCGACAAAAGCTACAATCAAGCCCCATTAAATTAATGAATAATAAATGATAAAATGTAAAAAATCAAGTAAAAAATGACGATGGAGATAAATTTTTTACCACCAAATGTAGAAGCCGCGCCAAAACCTCCTCCAAACGACGACGTACCATTATTACTGGAACGTGCAAAAATATTGCTTGATATTTGAGAAATTGATGTTTGATTGGCATTTTCACCGAATGATCCTGATGGAGGAGTAGCAAATGTTTTGGAGGTGAATACACCATTTCCAGATATAGATCCACCCAACTGTGGAGTGGAAAGTATGAAGTTAGATTGAGGTGGGAAGCTAGAATCTTGTTGAATCTTTTGCAATTTTTCCAGCATGTCTGCGGTCCCATGAGTGGGATTTTTCAATGCCTCCCGCTTGATTGTCATAGCTCGACACAGCTGTTGGAATTGAAGTTTTGTCTGATCAACGGTGCCATTTTTCTGAGCTTGGTATATTTCCCATCGTACTTCGTCTGGAGATATATCTTCCATACCAGGAATGCAGGCTTGTTCTTTGAAGGGTCCAAAGCAAGAAAGAAGCCATTGTCCACCCCGTTCGGCTGCTAGAACTTCTTCAGCTACTCCAAGCCTTACAACATCATATCAACTCATTTTTATTTGTATTTGCATTTGTTTTTTTTTTTTCATTCATTTTTATTCACTTTAATAGACAAATACAATGCTTACACAATACTTTTACCATCTCCATATGGTTTATTCAGTGTACCTTGAGCACCCACTGCTATAATATAGTTATCCATATTACTCTCATGTAACATTATTATTTCAATTAAGGAAAACAACAATAAATAATAAGTAAATATACCAAAAGTTCCAATATGTTCGAATCGGCAATACTGTCCAAAACGACAATTACCCTGTTGAAAATATTTGCAGATCACCATTCTCGTTAGGGGAGAAAAATCGAGATGGAGACCAAAGAGGATGGACTAAAGTAGAAGACTAGTTGAAGAGGCTCAGTTGTGGGGGGTTTGAGTGACCCCAGAGACATTGTAGTGCTGTACCCCAAGAAAGGGAGGGCGCCACACCCAATGGGGGTGTCTGCCCGTCAGCCGACTCAGCTGTCAGAGGGATCAGTCGACAGGGTGAATGTCATTTTCTGCGTTACGAAATTGGTATTCACGGAAATTTTAGAATTTTATGGAGTAACTTAAATTTTTTAAGTATACCAATATACCAATTTCGTAACGCAAAAAATAAAATTCACATTCCCATCGACTGGTTCCTCTGACAGCGGGACTGCTACTGAGGCAGTTACCCAGTCGGCTAACGGGCAGACACCCTCATAACTATATATTGTAGTGTGTGTACATATATGCATTTATATCGTATAGGTGAGCACTAGTGCCGCTCCGTTGATGAAATTCTCCTTTTCAAATGCTGCATTTGCCAATGTTTTTATGAGAATGTTAATTGATATTTCGATAGTTACTCCTTAATCACCTCTTCCTATAAATTCTCTGCGATATTTCCATTCGAAGGTGCTATACACTCATCGGCTAGATATATCTCTCAGTTAATCATATTCAATGTTTCATCCCCAACAGTAGAAATTGGGGGAATTCAGTTTCATCTCGTAAGGCATACATATTCTCTGATAGAGTGAAAGATGAATTACAAAGTTCCATGCATATATGATTTACAAAATAAAGCAGTGAATTATTTTATTTAAAAAATTTATAATTATAATAGACAATTGTTTGATTTATCGCCATTTATTTGAGTTCAGTCTTCTGATCAGAATGTATATGAACACAAAAAAAGTTTCTTACATCTAAAGAGAGTGAAAAAATTGTTCGTTAGGAATAGCTGTAAATGATTTTTGGGATATTTCTCTTAGGAATTGCGTGTTTATTGCCACTTTTTTTCATATATTAAAATTATATCAATTTCTCTCTTTGAAAATATCCATGTTGGAAATCAGCATCTCCGAGGCTTGAAGCATAAATGGAAAACCGATTCATTTATAGGTGTAATCTTTTCATTATTTGTTTTATTTATTCTAATTACTTTATCAGAAAACATTAACTTAATTCATTCGTTATTATAACTCCTTGTTGTTTTTCACGCAAACTCACTCGCAGCAGCACACTCAGCTTTCCACGTGCTCATACAAAGAGATTATAAAATCTTATTTTATTTGAAAATAATGAACTTCTTTTTTTCTTTTTCGAATTCGAATTCGAAGAATTTTATCATGTATTTAATATTTTTCCAAAGTTATGGAATAATGCATTGTATATTAACTTAAAAGAAATTAATAGAGAAAATCATAATAAAGTTCTTCTACGTCCCTGTTATTTTGCTTATAATAAGCAAAAATCAATAAATGTTCACATTTCAACACAAATATAAAACAGAAAAAAATACAATATAATTATGTCGATAACTTTGCTTTCATTTACATTTATACTATTGATTTTGCCAATTATTGTGACATTTAGACACATGAGTTGGTTTTCCATATTATACTATTGTACGACATTCACATTATTCTATAAGCAAAAAAAAATATTTATCCTTTTTTTCCAACATTTGAAATCGTTTTCGTTCATTTTCTGTTTTGAATATTATATATAGATTGTATTCAGTGGGGTTTTATAAAAATTAACAGAAAACAAAATACCCTCGAAAGTTCAAATCTAATTCAACAATAAATGTGCATAATTATTTTCAATTCTCTTGTATACCGTGCAATTGAAAATTTTCCAACGAAAATTACCAATTATCAATCTTTAGTTTTCTCATTAATCTTTGTTAATCATCTAGATCATTAACATGCAGGACTTCTCGATGCGTAAGACCAGCTTTGAATAGACTTATCATTTCCATTGTTGGATAGAGAATTCTCTTTGGATAGCTTGTAGTTATTTCAAAGTTGACTGGCGAGTCCGGTTGACTAAATATCCAGTGGTAAACATCCTGTAATATTTTATATTATAATCAATCTATTAGTCCTTTTGGTTTACATCCAATTTTACTTAATTCAGCAGAAAAAAAATGAAATAACATCGAAGAGCAGAATATATTCTATAACATGAAATGAAACTTAATTACCTCAACCGTATCTGACATGAGAAATCTTCGGATAATTGTTCTTCCTCCGAGTTTAATTTGAAGATGACAAGAATTTGGATGACCCACTTCGGGCTCAACAGGTATTTTCTGTATAGTTAATTCTTTTTCACGTTGTATACGCTGAATTTCAATCTCTAAAGCATTAATTTCCTCTCTTTTACGAGCTTCTTGCTCTTCTTTTGCCCTTTTCTCTTCTTCTCGTTTACGGTCTTTTTCTTGATCTGCACGGAGAGACTCTTCATACGCTTGGTCTTGTTGAAGTCTCAAAGATTGATTTGCACTGCGTTCAGCCCTGAATATTTTCAACATATACTTTTACATAAATAATTCCATTCTCAATACGATGGATACGAAAAAATTATTACCTTTCATGACGTGCTTGTATTAAATTCATTTCATTATTATCAATTATAGTTTTAAGCCGAAGTATCAGTTCAGATACTGAGGGAGTTCCTTCCAGCCTTGAAGAGTTAAAGTTCCAAGCTCACCAAATAATTTAAAAAATCTCAATACTTATAAAGTAAAAAAAAATGTTTAGTACCCATTACCTTCCAACTATAGTCATCCTATTATCTTTCAAAACAATCAGGGCAAGGAATGGATAAGTACCAGCCTTCAGGGCTTCAGCTACTTTATAGCCTTCACCAGATTTTATATTACAAGCCCACAATAGTGTATAGGTATTGATAAAACGGATGAGCTCTGTATCAGTTAGAGCAATTCTGTTGAGTATTATTATATTATTATATTATTATATTATTATATTATTATATTATTATATTATTATATTTATATAGGAGCACACCTGCACCATTGATCCACACTCTGTACGTCATCTTCATGAAGATAAACAAGAAGGAATCTCAATTCTTGCTTAGCATCAGATAATGCTTGACTGTACGATCCTTGATAAAAAACTGGGTGATTCGTTCCATATCTCTCCTCAAATGAACCTATGAATCTGACTACATCTTCCACGGGATCCGAAGATACTGTTATCAGTAAAATTATATTTCATTAGAAAACAACTTAAATGATTCTTATTTGGAGACAAAAAAAAATGGTATAAGTTGTATTGCATTATTGTAAAATCCATCACTCACCCGGTCTTACATTTGTCCTGAATATAGCGAATAAAATATGTAAAATACTTGTTACTAAGTTATAGCACATGGAAAATACAAATGATGAAAAACCGCCACCACTAGCAGAGCTTCCCGCTGGACTGAAATAAATTCTTGAATTTGTATCATCAACAACCGCTGGCGGTCTAGCTCTTGAGTCCTGTGCATACATTGAGGGTCTGCCCTCATACAAATTGAGTTGCTCCTACATAACAATGACAAATAACTTCATAGAGATAACATTAAATTTATACAATAAAGAATGGTCAAATATATAATTTTATTTCTTTGCAATTTTAAGTATACAACCTAGTTTTCAATCCAAATTCATTGACAAAAACTTAATTAAAATCTTATACCTGGACGGCCACTTCCAAGTTCCAATTGTGTCTTTGCAGTACATCACGACAAATTGAGAGATCCTCGATTCCTGTCAAATCCTTGAGAATAAAAATGAGAAGAAATTGTCGAATAATTATAGTAAAGATAGTTCTATCAATATTCAATACCTTTTTTTTTTAGGCTAAAAATACCAACAATTTTATTTCTTACCTGGAATTGAAGAACTTTTTCCGTTTGTTCACTATTGAGTGCACCCAGGGCATTATCAGCCATTTTATTGTTTTTTTTTTAATTCTATATAAAACTAATTTCAACAACAAAATAAAAGAAATGTATGTCCGTTACATATATGCTTGAAATTTACAATGTATCTCTACATATGCGTATACGTTTCGTTTCCGCATCTCATACATTGTGTATATGCATGTACACACACTATATGTGGAAAATCTAGACTGCTTTCGTGGTGGCCATAGGAAGCTCAATTCACAAGTGAACATAACCAAGTATTTCGTCAACAAGGACAACAAGTGCAACCATTTTATTCTCCAAACAAAAACTCCATCGACCATCTGCCAAGCTGAATTAATTAGTATTTTCTCTTGATAATCTTCATTATCTATATATTCTATTCATTATTCAGTATTGAAGATTCAATGGCATCACCTTGGGCAGAAATTCAGCCAAATTTAGAAACAATCAGTTTTGAAAAAATAACAGCTGAAGAAATGGCTAAAAGCTTCCAAGAAAAGTGAGAAATTTTTGATCGTCTGCCCCTCTTCTATTTTCATTCATCGTTCTTTTGTAATGTAATGCTAATTCATCGTTGTTGAAACAGAGAATTACAAGAATATGCAAAAAAAGTTGACCAATTGGATACTTTTGAGGAGTGTAAATTTTGCACTGACACCGATACTGGTACTGACAGTGATGCTGTTATTGCCCAGTTGCTTCAAAATCAGTATAACAATGAGCATGATATGATGGTGCAAAGAAGCGAGGAAAAATTTAATGGTCACTCTAAAGGTAAAATGATGTAAACATCTTGTCTACGCTTTATTTTCTCTTTATTGTTATTCCAAAGCCAGTTTTCATTTTGTCATTTTATTTAAATTGGTAAAAATAAGAATGTTTCTATTTATCACTCAGTGGCTGTATCATTTGTTAATTATCGACTATCCTCTGCGAACAAGTCCAATGAGAGACAAGTAGCTGCTGATGACGACAATCGAGATGTAGATAGATTTGTGGTATGTAGCAAATTTTCCTCCGTCTTTAAATGTACACGTTATTCGAAAAATGATGGACAATTGTATTTTTAGAATGTGGAAAGAGAATATGCGTCTATACCGAAATGCGGCTATAAAAAAACATCGGAAGGTTCGGAAATTGTTACAAAACATGATATGCTTTTAACTTCAAGATTAAATGCTTGCCGAGTACTCGAATTTCCCCCAGGAATATCAACTGGCGATACTGGTGGATTTGATGTGAAGTTGAATAATAAAGTATTCAATTCATTACGAGCTCACAGTCATGCCTTTTGTGCTAGAAGAAAATTAAAAACTAAATCCCAGCATATTAAATAATCAGGAAAAAGAAAAGAGAAATAAGTCAATGTAAGTTGAAAAAAATCAGTCAACAGATAATAATAATAAATAAACGAACAAATAAATTCTTTGTAACGTTAAATAAATATTCCTTCACGTAATAAAATCAATGATTCCCTACTTCTGCGGATTATGATAATAAGCGATAATAAGCGATAATAAGCGTGAAATAGCCCTCGGGGCGTGATTTTTAATTTTTTTCACTTTTTGACCAAATGGCACTTGGAAAATTTCCAAAAAAAATTCACCATTCACGCAATAATGAAAATTCCAGGAAAATGTGAATGGAATTGAGTTACGGAGGCCCCCGCGATTCATAATAAGCGTGAACTAGCCCTCGGGGCGTGATTTTTAATTTTTTTCACATTTTGACCAAATGGCACTTGGAAAATTTCCAAAAAAAATTCACCATTCACGCAATAATGAAAATTCCAG